AATCCCATCAATCCCACCAATCCCACCAATCCCATCAATCCCATCAATCCCGTACCTGGGGTGCCGGTCGAACATGAGGGGCAGGAACTCGTCCCTGTATCCCTGATCCCATCAATCCCATCAATCCCATCAATCCCATCAATCCCATCAATCCCATCAATCCCATCAATCCCATCAATCCCATCAATCCCACCAATCCCATCAATCCCATCAATCCCATCAATCCCACCAATCCCACCAATCCCATCAATCCCATCAATCCCATCAATCCCACCAATCCCATCAATCCCATCAATCCCATCAATCCCATCAATCCCACAAATCCCCCAAATCCCACCAATCCCATCACACCTGGGGTGGCGGTCGAACATGAGGGGCAGGAACTCGTCCCTGTATCCCTGATCCCATCAATCCCACCAATCCCATCAATCCCACCAATCCCATCATTCCCATCAATCCCATCAATCCCCCATATCCCATCAATCCCATCACACCTGGGGTGCCGGTCGAACATGAGGGGCAGGAACTCGTCCCTGTATCCCATATCCCAAATCCCTGATCCCATCAATCCCCCAAATCCCATTAATCCCGTACCTGGGGTGCCGGTCGAACATGAGGGGCAGGAACTCGTCCACCGGGATCATCTTGCCCAGGGGCTCGGCGGCCAGGAGCTTGCGGGCGCCGCGCAGCGACAGCGCGTAGCCCAGGCTCCAGTAGGAGTAGCCCGGCCGCAGCAGCTGCCGCACGCCCGGCACGCCGCGCTCGGCGCGCTCCGGCTCCAGCCGCTTCCGGCCCAGGTAGCTGGGAACAGCGGGGAGCAGAGGGGGCGGTGGGGTCAGGGGGGTCAGTGGGGTCATCAGGGTCAATGGGGTCAGTGGGGTCGGTGGGGTCAATGGGGTCATTTGGGTCATTGAGGTCAATGGGGTCAGTGGGGTCAATGGGGTCAGTGGGGTCAATGGGGTCAGCGGGGTCATTGGGGTCAGTCGGGTCATAAGGTTCAGTGGGGTCAATGGGGTCAGTGGGGTCAGTGGGGTCAGTGGGGTCAATGGGGTCAATGGGGTCAGTGGGGTCAATGGGGTCAGTGGGGTCAATGGGGTCATTTGGGTCATTGAGGTCAATGGGGTCAGTGGGGTCAATGGGGTCAGTGGGGTCAATGGGGTCAGCGGGGTCAGTGGGGTCAATGGGGTCAGCGGGGTCATTGGGGTCAGTGGGGTCATTTGGGTCATTGAGGTCATTGGGGTCAATGGGGTCAGTGGGGTCAATGGGGTCAGTGGGGTCAATGGGGTCAGTGGGGTCAATGGGGTCAGCGGGGTCATTGGGGTCAGTGGGGTCATCAGGGTCAGTGGGGTCAATGGGGTCAATGGGGTCAGTGGGGTCATTGGGGTCATTGAGGTCATTGGGGTCAGTGGGGTCAATGGGGTCAGTGGGGTCATCGGGGTCAATGTGGTCAGTGGGGTCATTGGGGTCAATGGGGTCATTTGGGTCAGTGAGGTCAATGGGGTCAGTGGGGTCAGTGAGGTCATTTGGGTCATTGAGGTCATTGGGGTCAGTGGGGTCAATGGGGTCAGTGGGGTCAATGGGGTCATTGGGGTCATCGGGGTCAATGTGGTCAGTGGGGTCATTGGGGTCAATGAGGTCAATGGGGTCATTGGGATCAATGGGGTCATTGGGGTCATCAAGATCAATGGGGTCATTAGAATCAATGGGGTCAGTGGGGTCAATGGGATGAATGGGGTCATTGGGATCAATTAGGTCATTGGAACCAATGGGATCAATGAGGTCGATGGAATCAATGGGATGAATGGGTTCCATGGGGTCAATGAGGTCAATGGGGTCATTGGGATCAATGGGGTCATCGGGATCAATGAGATCAATGGTACTATTGGGATCGATGGGATCAATGGGATCCAAGAGGCCTCAGGAAATGGGGAGCAGTGGGATGAGGATGATGAGGATGAGGAGGAGGGGACGAAGGCTCACACGAGGTCCCAGAGGACCGGGGTGAGTTTTGGGATGAGGATGAGGAGGATGAGGACGAGGACGAGGAGGGGACGAAGGCTCACACGAGCTCCCAGAGGATTGGGGTGAGTTTTGGGATGATGAGGATGAGGATGAGGACGAGGAGGGGACGAAGGCTCTCACGAGCTCCCTGAGGACTGGGGTGAGTTTTGGGATGATGAGGATGAGGATGATGAGGATGATGAGGACGAGGGGGGGACGAAGGCTCACACGAGGTCCCAGTCGATGGCCGCCTGCTCCAGCTGCTCCATCAGCTCCTCCAGGCGGCTGCGGAAGAAAACCTCGAAGCGCAGATCGTCCTCCAGCACCAGCGAGCGCCGCAGGCCCCGCGCCGAAATCTGGGAATGCCGGAGAGCCGGGAATGCCGGAGGGAGCCGGAGCCGCCGGGAATCACCGCCCAGCCTCGGGAATTCCAGATGGAACCCGGGAGAGACGGGAATCGCCGCCCAGCCTCGGGAATTCCAGATGGAACCCGGGAATCACCGCCCA